CATGCTCCAGTGTGCCCTGTGAAGATAAATGATAAATAATAATTCCTCCCGTACCCCAGCATTATTTTTCCTGTTATTACTGTTTTATGGGTGTAATTACCTCGGCTTCCTCTAGAGCAGTCTGGATTTCTGACTTTTCTGTCTCTACTGTCTTCTTGGCCTTCTCCAGCTCATGAATGGTCTTTCCAGTCTCACCGATTTGTTCAGTCAGGTCTGAGATCTCCTCTGAATATTACACAGATACATTTTAAAATAGAACAGCATGAATCTGTTTCATGCTGGTTAGAAATGTATTTAATTAAAAAATTATGACTTCATTGTCAGTCTGAGATTCAATAAGGAAGGAATTAATCTTATAATCTATCAGGATCAGTTTGTGGACATACGCTGCAGGTTCTTGTTCTCTCTCTTCATGGTCTCCAGGTGGTCCAGAGTTTCCTCATAGGAGTTCTTCATCTTGAACAGTTCAGTACTGAGAGAACGAGCCTCTTTCTGAGCCCCTTCCAGCTCTGCCTGACTTTCCTCATATTTCTGTTTCCATTCTGCCAGGACCTAGAAAATATTGAACACAAAATCAAGATGAAGGCAGGTAGTTAGCATTAGAAGTAAATTTCTCCTTCATGTCTATGCTGGCAAACTGGACGGGAATTCTCTCGATATATTTGTTTACCTTGTCAAAGTTTCTCTGCTTCTTATCCAGATTAGCAGCCAAAGAGTTTGCCCTCTCTACATCGATCATGAGGTCCTCCACCTCACCCTGCAGTCTCTGTTTGGTCTTCTCCAGAGAAGCACATTTGGCATTGACAGCCTCAATAGATTCCTCTGCATCCTGGAGACGCTGAGCAAGCTTTTTCCTGTGGAGAGTGAAATTTTAGTTTCACTGGAATTATCTTTACATAAATTTATGGAGTTAAGTGAAGATGTAGAGTCAGTGTAGTTACTTGGCCTCCTCAAGCTCCTCAGTACGTTGGATGGCATCAGTCTCATATTTGGTCCTCCACTGAGCCACCTCGCTGTTGGCCTTGGACATTCCACGCTGCAGTTCAGCCTTGGCCTCCTGCTCCTCCTCATATTGCTCTCGGAGGAGGTCACAGTCATGGCGAGCTGATTGCACAGCGTGGGCCAGAGCGTTCTTGGCCTTAAAAAAAAAAATTAGTTTAAAGAATTTGCTTTTGAATCAGTTTTCATATGAAAGTATGCATCTGACTCATCTTGCTTAGTGGCAAACATTAGAACTACAATTCTAGTTACCTTGACTTCCTCTTCAACGTGTCTTTTGAGCTCCTCAATCTGCTGTGTGTAGGCCTGTTTACCTCTAGTCAGCTGGGAAACAAGAGCTTCTTTCTCCTCAAGCTGACGACCAAGTTCACCTAAATAAATAAAAAGAGCATAGTACTTATGTTTCACTTTTTTCTGCGATATTTATTGCTTAAAATGTAGTCTGTATTTTACTAACCATTCTCGGTCTGAAGTCTTGCTTTCTGTGTACTGAAGTCATTTAGGTGACGAACGTTTTCATCATTCTTTGATTTAAGTTCACTTAGTTGATCTTCAAGGGTGCGGCACATTTTCTCCAGGTTTGCCTGTCAGAAATTATTGTTTTAAAAAATGGGGAATGTCCTCAAATTAGCTTTAATCGCCTCAAACATCTTAATTTCCTCATACCTTTGATTTTGCAACAGCCTCCATGTTGCTGCTCAGGTCATCGATTTCCATTTTGTATTCACTCTTCTCTTTCTCCAGCTTCTGCTTGACACGCTGAAGGTTGTCGATTTGTTCTCCCAGCTCTGCCACGGTGTCAGCCTGCTTCTTACGGAGGGCAGCAGCTGTAGCCTCATGCTGCAGGGTGGACTCTTCAAGATCACGGCGCAGCTTCTGGAACTCAGCCTCACGCTTCTTGTTCATCTCGATCTGAGCAGAGGTTGCACCACCAGCTTCCTCAAGCCTCTCACTGATCTCCTCAAGTTCCCTGGACAGATCAGCCCTCTGTTTCTCAACCTTGGCCCTGGCAGCACGTTCAGCCTCAATTTCTTCCTCCAGCTCCTCAATACGAGCCTAAAATACATGACAGTGTGTAAGTCATAGTAGTAGATTGCTCCACATTGTTCATTTGAAGTACCAAGAGTTTACCTGCAGCTCTTTAATCTTCTTCTGAAGCTGAGCACCCAGTGTCTGTTCATCCTCAATTTTGCTCAGAAGCTGGCTAGTCTCAAAGTCCTTCCTGTGGACATCAATTGCGCATACTCAATATTCAGCATCAATTTTAAACTTGGGAATAAACTAGGGACTGTGGATTTTTTGCTGTTTTATTTTAACAACACTCATACTTCTTCAGCTTCTCCTCTGACTGCTGCTTATCATTCTCCAGGTCCATTATAGATTCCTGGGCAAGTTTCAGGTCTCCCTCAAGCTTTCTCTTGGCTCTCTCAAGATCCATGCGTAGCTTTTTCTCTTGTTCCAAAGAGCCTTCAAGCTACAGATAAAATCAAGTTATTGATCTGAAACATATTTTTTCTGGTATTGAGAGGCATAAAATAATGATTATTTTCCTTACATCATCCACTTGCTGTTCAAGCTTGGTCTTGGCTTTGGTCAGAGTGTTGACTTTGTCTTCTTCTGCTTGGAGATCATCCAGGATCTGCTGATGTGCCTCCTGGAGGGCTTTCTTCTCCTTGGTCAACTTGGCAATACTCTCATCCTGAGAGGCCATCTCCTCAGTCAGGTTTTTAACCTAAGGAGAAAGCATTCCATATTTGGTTACAAAGAGTTACGAAAATTAGTCAAACATGCACATTTGTAAATGATTTAACATTAACCTTGTTTTCTGTGGCATGTTTCTCCTTCTCTACTTTAGCCAAGGTCAGCTCCAAGTCATCAATGTCTTTCTTCAGCTCAGAACATTCATCCTCCAGTTTCCTCTTCTTGGCAGTTAACTCAGCATTGATTTCCTCCTCATCCTCCAGCCTCTCATTTGTCTCTTTGAGTTTTGCTTCAAGCTGTATTTTGCTTTTGATGAGACCCTCACACCTTTCCTCTGCATCTGTGAGATTTTCAGTTTCCTGGAAAATAAATCACTGAAGTTATAAAAATAACTTCTTGTATTTATATCATGATGTTCACTCTTGCCATTTATTTACATGGTTTACTTACAGACTGTACTTGTAGCTGCAGGTCATTCTTCTCCTGTAGAAGAGAAACCATTTTCTCCTCCAGCTCCTTCTTCTTGGCCAGTGCTTTCGCCAGCTCTTCTTTGGTCTTCTCAAACTCCTCCTTCATGTTGGCCATTTCCTTCTCAGTTTCTGCGCTCTTCAGGAGTGGCTTGATCTTGAAGTACAGCTTCATCCATGGCCAGTGTTTCACATTCATGAATGACCGGATGTTGTATTGGATGCTAAATACAGACTCCCTTTTTAAAGGAAAAACACACCAGTTATTAAACAGCTATTCAGCTAATCAATATGAATAGAAATAGTCAGCATTTAAATAAAAAAAAAGATTTACTAAATGACAAAATACCCATATAAACAATTAGAAACTGGAAAACAATGTAAGTTTTACATGCATTTTAAGTTCATCCCAGTGAAATTAAATCTAAATAGTTATTTAATTAATAGTAAATTGGAATTAATAGTTGTAGAAATAATATGCTGAGTATTTACCTCCTCTCCATCATCTTCACAAACTCCCTTCTCATGAGGAAACCACGGCACAGGGCCTGAGTCATGGTGACTAAAGTGGCCAGTTTGTCATCTCGCATCTCCTCTAGAGTACCCAACAGACCAGCTTTGAAGAACACCTGGTAACAGAGGTAGTAGATATTAGGTAAATAGCAGTGTAATGTGTGTCACAAAAATCATGACACAGATTATATCTCCAGGCTTTTACCTTGGTGTGGCCAAACTTGTACTGAGTGTGGTCCACATCTATTGAACCCAAGAGCTTCTCTGAAGCCTTCTTGTTGTCAATGAACTGTCCTTCTGGAATCACGCTGGCATTCAGTACTTTGTATCTGAGGTGAAATACATTTAAAACCATATTTTAAATTTAAAACCATTTAAAATAATGTATCCGACTTTTAATTTATGTAATAGATGTACATAATTTTACAATATTTTCAAGTAATATCACATAAATATGCCATATTATACAGTATGTGCATATATGTATACACACACACACACACACACATACAGTACATATATTCCGTTTATGAAAAGTGCTTTTGATAGAATAATCCATGAAAGAGAAGTGTGTAAAATGACCTCTGCTTGAAGTCACCATAGAGGATTCTGCTGGGGAAACCCTTTCTGCAGATCCTGATACCTTCCAGCACACCGTTACACCTCAGCTGATGGATAACCAGGAAGTTCTCCATCAGACCTGGAGGAAATGAAGGAATTATACATAAAATTTGAATAAACCTAGTGAAACTCCTGTAATATTGAAGTTTACACAGTTGATATAATGTACAGTCCTGTACAAACCTGGTGTCTTTGATTCGTTTGGAATCAGGCAGCGCACAAAGTGAGGGTGAGTGCTT